ATTCTGTAACCCGCCCACGCACCATCTCCTCATGTGTCGTGACCAGGCTGCAGAATAAAGGACCCTGTCCTTCTTCGTATCCAGATCTGGAGTGGTGGTGTGGGAGGAGGGGGGGGATCCGCTGTGGACCGCCGTGGACCATCGTGACAACGGAGCCGAAGGATCCTACCTTGATCAGGCCTCATCGTCCTTTCACCTCGTCAGAGAAATTGCCCCACCGTCCCGATTTGTGATCATCAACATGCGCGAGGCCCAGCTTAGCTCAAGCACTTCACGACAAGGCCGGCATAGTCTGCCCCCAAAATTGATTTGGCGGGACTGCAAAAGTTCCAGACAACAGGGTCGAGCAAGTCGAACTCAAATGATCCTCTTCGAACAAAAACATGGCCCGAGTCCTACTGCATGTGGGCTTCCCGCCTGCCGCAAAGCTTCGCTATCCTTCAGACCCACTCAACCCACACGCCTTGTGCGGGTGAGCTGTGCTTTTCGCTAGTAGCCAGCCCTACGCCTGTCTCAGTTCGTCTGCCCACCTGTCAGAACGTCTAGTCAGAAAGTCTACCTGAACCGTGGTGCAGGTTCTCGACATGGATCGCCACCATCTTGAAGGAAGAATCCACCGCAACTCGTCGAACGACAACCGACCGCCATCCTCCAAGATGCCGTTCACGGTGGCAATCTGGTCGTCAATCCGCCAATCATGCCCAAGGCTCTGTTAGGGCGGCGGCTATGCAACTTGGGGGGCCGAATTAGGCGAATGAACCTCTTGCATCTGGCGCCTGTCGCGCACTCAACCAGGGTTTACATTGGCCTGGCTGTAGACTCTCGATCAAGGGTGGGTGGGAACAGGGGCCCGGGATCTGGGAATTTGAGAGTCTGGGTCTTTGGCACGGCATGTCGGACTCGGGTAATCGCTTTCGCCTTTGTGGCCAACTCCCAACTGCTTCATTTGTCCACCGCCGGCAGATCCATCTATTCCTTGGTAAGAACTATCTCGAATCCAGTAAACCAGGGACACGCGGGTCGCTGTAGACTGAGCATCTGCACCTTCGATTCCCTTCCGGGGTACGTGTCTACATAGACACTGGCCAGCGGTGCATTTATGAGTCGGAGGGCCTTCCAAACCTCTTGACATGATAGTTTTTTCCATAATACTTTGTCGAGCTATCATCACCACAACTAAACGGACCGAAGACGACTCAATCGTCTTCTTGTCGGCTCTCTTCATCTTCTTCAAAACGGTACATGGCTCTTTCACCTGATTCGCGTGCATCCGCGGCAGACGACGCACATCGGCAACCGGGCCCTCCCGTCAAACAACCGCGCCCACATCTACCGAGGGGACTTTTGGCACGATTTCTCGCAAACCGACCAACAACAGCTTGCGAACGTTCGCTTCCAACGGAACGGACAGCACTTGCAGGGCGACTCGATGGCGCAAAATTCTAGCTCTGCTCACAACAAGTCTCGGTCCCACGGCCATGGAGCCAGGTCTGTCGAGGGCACGCCAAATGAGTATTACTCTCCGTATCACTATCCAAGCGAGACCCCGGCTTTCCATGCCCGAGAGAGAACAACTTGCAACGATTACAGTACCTCGTACGACTGGACACAACCACTCACCCAACCTGCAGACTTTGCTGCCGACGACCTTGGAAGCCATGAATACCCAGATGATGACCTGTTCTACAGCGCAACCCAGTCCGAAGGCGTGCTGCCAAACTTGTTTGACGTCAGTGACACCCACAGACTGTACCAAGCATATAATCTGGATCAAAGCTTGGGCATCCCCCTTCAGCCATCAACATCATGCGTCGATGTTCCGGGATCGATGCCCTCCACCACTGCCGAAGGGCTCTTGCCTGCCCAGTATGGCAGCTCTGGCTTTTGGATGGACCCATCCTTCTCAACTGTGTCATCTTTCCCGCATCCTGGAGGGTCGGTAGGCACCATCGAGAGCTTTGACGACATAACGGATCAAGTAGCCCATGATGCATTACCTCATACAACATCGTTTGAAGAGTCAGCACCAACCTCAACCTCAGGCGACCGCTGAGTTCTTCCCGGGTCCATACAAGTAACACTTCCCAAAAGGTTAACCCCCAGGTCCATTTCCAGGATCCGAGACTGACGAGAGTAGATGCGACGAAAGTCCAGCCTCCAATCAAAAGGAGCCTCAAAACAGCGTGCCACTGGTCGCCCATCTCGGGAACAAGTTCCAACCGAAACGTGGGAGGCTTTCAAGCCAACAATTCGAGAGCTATATCTTGACCAACACAAGCCGTTGAAGGAAGTTATCCGCATAATGAACGAGCGACACGGATTCGAAGCAACGTTAGCATGCAACCCTACGCCGTGCGAATGTGTACCGCGCTGACAAAAGCCAGTCCCAAAATGTACAAGACGAGGTTCTCACAGTGGGGTTTTGTAAAGAACAACACGGAGGACGAAGTCAAGATGCTACTGTCGACAAAATTCGAAAGAGATGCAGAGGGCAAAATATCCGAGTTTACACGCAACGGCAAAGTCGTCAACCTGGCGACTTATCTTAGGCGCAAAGGTGTGACAGAATATGACCTTGTCGACTTTGACACGGCGTCGGAACTGCCCTCGCACATTCGCGTTCGTACGCCTTCCCCACCCCCAGCACCTGGTTATTTGCGATCACCAGACCTCATACGCGCGCAGGAGATCCTCGTGATTAATATGAGGAAGGCTTTGATGCACTGTCAGCAGAATGAACGCAGTGATGCCCATCAGCACGGATGGGCGTCGCTGCTGTTGTGGGGTGCCGGGTCGAGTCACATGCTGTTTGAAGCCAGCAAGTTGTTCGAACGACAAAGAAACGACCTGGCCGGCAGTCTCCTCATGCACGCATTCCGGCGGTTAGAGGTTGACCTACGGCAGCTTTCCACGCAAGGCATCAAGGAACTGTTGTTCGGCATGTCAAATCGACATCCCGGCATGATGACGGCCTTGTCCAGGTATCTAGCAGCGTACGCTACCAGGAACTACGAGCGGCTGCACCCGCTCCGGCTAATCTTCACCAACATGTACCAAATAAGACAGAAGCACGGCCCTGCTGCCCTCTCAAGTCTCATTTGGAATGCCATGCCATCTGTGGCTGAGGAGATTGAGTCCGCCTATGGATCACAGTCGCCACTCGCCGTCAGGACATGGATGGATCTCTCGATGCTCTACGATCATACCAGTACTTATCGCATGTCTCACCTGTACGACCAGCTGGGTCACCTGAGCCACAAGTATGTCAGTTCGACCGAAGACGACATGGCCTTCCGCTACGTACGCATCCAACTCTCGGCTTTTGCCGACCATAACGGCAGCGCCCACCGACAGCAACTTGTGACCACCTGGAATTACTGCGTTGCAAATAAGCTCGTGTTTGGTATCCGTGGCCAGCCAGATGTCTACTGCTATCACTCTGTTTTGCAAATCAAGCCGTGGATGAAACGTGTCAGGCAGCGATATGGCCAGACGCTCAAGAGCACTGAGCTTTTGCTCGGCTGCAAGATGATATGCTGCTTCGCCGAGGATCCGCATCCTGTGGAGCACGTCGACGAGACGGATACACTTGATGCACACCCTCTGCTTCGTTTGCCGGTATCTCTGGCAAGCTTGCAGCCGTCATCTTCTACAGCACCGGCAGGGGCTTGAGGCCCAGGAAGGCGCGCTGTGGAAGTCATGATGTTGGCCTCTGACGGGGCGCCGACATATCGGCCTGACTACCCCTTATGGGCGATGTTCCCTTCTTGGCACCACGATAGATAGAGCAGGGGAGGCCAGGTTCAGTAACATGGGTTCGCAGCTGCCAAGGGAGGGTGTCAATCCCCCAATATGAAGCTTCTTACCGCAGTGCCATGGTCTCTTCAGAGTGTTGAGGGCAAAATCCAAACTCGTCCGAACCTTAATTTGATCTTGTCTGTCCGCTACACTCTCAGCTTGGGTCGCACAAAATGATCAAGAGCACTTTGGAGACCGGACTTATTGCCCTCGGAGGGTACGTTGTCCACTCCGCCGGATCTCGGTCGCCATATTCGCTATCGGACCCATCACTGCATCCCTAGGAGGAACTCACCAGAGGAAGAAGGCGCCAAGCCCGCCATGCCTGGACTCGAAGACGTGACATCTGCCGAGTGGAAGGATCACGACGCCACCGCCGGGCTGGACAGTGACGGCGAGTACGCCCGCAGGCAACATTCTTTCCACGTATAGCCACGTTACAACGCTATGGGGCACGTCCATCGCCGCGCTGGAGACAATTAAACGGCAGGCTTTCTCTGGAGCCTGGACCGGGATCAGTCGTGTTCCGAAGTGCGCCTGCGCTTCCCCATGCAAGCCTGCGGCGTAGCCATTAACACCACCTATCCGAGCATTACCCCAGCCTACCCGGTTCGCAGAGGCAGAATGGGGCCTCAGAAATCAGCGCAAAAGGCACCCGAACGCTCCGCTGAATTGAGCCGCGGGGAAATTGGGACGCTGCGTCCATCCGCCGCCGCCGCCGCCGCCGCCGCCGCCGCCGCCGCCGCTCGAGCTGGGGTCCCGGCCTTCCCCTAACAGTGCTCGCGCCTGACCACGAATCCTTCCTTCGGACCAGCGGTGCATGCAGCCCTGTGATGTAGTGGAACTTTGGGCGACTCTGCAGCTCGCTGGGTCGTCAAGGTCACTCAGAGCATGCTGCGCCGCCGTGGGACAGTAGTCAATACGAACGGATGCGCCAAGATGGAGGACTTCTTCTGTCGAGCCCTCCCGCCTTCTCTATGCTGCGTTCTCGACCGATTTGACGATGCGTTTTACTCGTGCCGCCAAGACATCCAGGCACCAGTGGTTCAAGATCTTACAACATCCTGATTACCTGGGCCAAAGAGATGCATCCTGAACTGGACAGAGAAACTCCCCGCCGACGCCGTAGGGGTTCGCATAGGGCCGGCTCATTGAGTTCATTCCCCCCTCCTGTAGAGTACACACACGAACCAGCGAAAGTCTGAGTGCGGTGGATTGGGCTATCTCTGTTCCCTGCTTGACGTACAAGCCCTGGGGGAGGCTTGTCACCTGCCATTGGGGTGAACCTGGATTGCTCACGAGGCCTCTGTAGGCCAGATACAGGAGCAACCATGCGGATCATTGGGCGATTTCATCAGATACAATATCCTAATAAATTGAAAGCTGTCACTCACGAATACTTGGCGAACCCAGACAGTAATGCGGTAGGCTGTTGCCACGCAGCAGCTCACCACATCAGCATCGAGAGCTCTGCGCTAGAAGCTCTTCAGGGCTCTCACTTTGGCCTCCATCGCCTTCTCCGTCCAGCTCAACAAGCCGAAGCAGTCGAACCCGTGTACGAGCCCAGGCAGCAGATGGAACTCAACATCCACGTCCCCAGCCACGAGTCGCTCAACAAAGGCAGCCGTCTCACCGACAAACAGGTGAAGTCCTCCGATTTCCACATAGGTAGACGGCAAATCCGACAAGTCGCGGGCTCGTCCCGGCGCCACGTGGATCGGGACCCCCCATCGGCGGCCCCCGCCCTGCCCCCGCCGAGCACCGCCTCCCACGCCGTGCGATTGTACGCGGCGGTCCAGAAGTGGTACGGGTCGAGCGCTCCGCCGCCCCGAAACCCCGTCCGATCGTCGAGCATGGGATAGATCAAGATTTGCTTCGCGAGAGGCGGCGTCAGTTTCCGGTCTCTTGCCAAGAGGGCCGCGCCGGCAGCGAGCCCGCCACCTGCCGAGTCGCCCATGACAGCCAGCCGCGCCGGGTCGACGTTCCATTCGCCAGCGTGCGCATCACGTTGCCCATGAACTCTTCGAACCATGCTCGAAGCTGGTGTGCGTCTGCTTCGCTTCCTGGCTTTTCCCCCATCTTCAGGGTCGACAATATAGCGCCGAGTTCCGGGCCGAGTCGCGACTTGTTCGTTCGGATGAGGTGTTTGGCCATTGTGCGATGGCTATCTGTGGAGGATGACTAGTGCTGTGTTGATTCTGCGATGCCGCAAATGATGATCCTCGAGACAGATTTCATACTTTTCATATAGGTGTCTAGATCACTCCAATTGGTGTGCAAGTCACTCGTCCTCCACGATACTTTACCCAACAGAAGTCCTTCCCTGAGGACAGCACATCCGCGCGACCTTCGACGCCAATTCATGACCAAGGGAGCCATGACTGCCGGGTTGTCGACATACCCAGACAAAAGACAGTTGTGTCCCCAACGGTCCTCACCAGGGTCGGAGGCTTTTCTTGTCAAGCGCTGGTCCGAATCGACCATTTGTTCGTCAGCACAAGGATTGGAGTGGATCCGCACTCATGCCCGGCGAGCTAGGCCACGGCTCAACATGTTTCTGTTGGGTTGTGCCGTCAGATAATCGAATATCGCGGTGAGGTCGCGGGTGTTGTGAGTTTGCTGCCGTTCGGCCGGTGACGGAGTCGCTCTCGGACACGTCAGCATCCAGGTTAAAGCGAAAGATGGATGTGTCACCATTGGAATCCTTGGCCTGTGAGCCATTTGAAGGCGAGGTCTGATTTTCTATTGTTGTCTATTCTCTAGGCATCGATGGGGCATGAGAACATGGCGATACCGTCGTCTCGAACATATCTCTTATTCAAAGCATCTGTCATGGTTTGTTTGAAACTGCTCACAGGTGAATTGTTTTGGATCGATAGAACTTGTCGAGCTGCCTTTATTGATAGTGACAGCGACAGCAGCTATGAGCACAGCAGTAGTCAGAGAGCCGTGGCTAGAAATTGGTAACCCTGCAGACCCTAAGGAGTGGTTAGCTGTCATATCCTGCCCTGAGGAGAAGTTGGAGGTTGACGCTGTTTTGGTCGCCACTTGTCCTCGCGTCTTTACGGAGGACGTACAGCACAATAGACTTGACCCCAAACCTCGACGGATATTACGCTGTCTGGTCGGAGTTCTTGCGTTGTTACCTTGCTTGCCCACAACAGCTCGGAGGAACGTGACACAGACCTCGCCCAGAATCATAGTGATCACATAGAATCACTGTCCAAATCCAATGCGATACGTCGCTGGCACCATCAATCGACCATTGCCAATCTGGCCTTCGTTGCCTGCCCCGACGCATCTCATGTCACAAGATCACAAGCGGAGCTATGTTTATTGTAGAAAACGCCTCAGGGCCTTCGTGGCGGCCGGCCTCGCCGTCGCCGCTCCATGTCAGTAACCGCCTCAACCCCCCAGCTGGGTCAAACCTCGGGCGTGAAAGGCCTTGGGCCCTTGCAGTCTTTAGGGGCTTCATACTATCGATTTGGCGAGGGCAATGTAGAATCTTCCGAGCTGAATATGCCCACCACGGAAAGGTGATTCATCCAAGAGAGCCCCAAAGTTGTGAAAGGCGGTAGCCTCTGCTCGGCGAGTTTCCAAAAGCCCCCGTCGTCAAGCTCCGTAATGTCAAATTCGATGAGCAAATTCACGACGCGAACGTTCCACGGGAATGAATTCCCGTAGAGCTGGGGCAGCCCTGTCCTCGGATCGGGCCCTGAAAATCCACCTGGGGGCCAGAACCAGCCAACACCGGGGCGATTTGCCTTTGACATACGCACACAAAGTTCAAGCCTTTTGCCGAACCAGATTTGCGGTTCGGTCGGATGAGGCAGCAAAAGCACCTCACGGCACATGATAGTACCGGGCGTTGGCTGGGTCAGGTGCTTAGTGCGCGTGTCGCAGCACGCCCTCGCAGCACCCTCCTGAAGGACTGCAGCAACATCTCGACGACGACCAGATATGCGAGCAGAAGTCCGGTCCAGGCCGTGGGCTTGCACTTGTGGTCCCAAAGATAAGATGTCCAGGTCCAGAACAGTCGGCACGAGGGAGGCAAGACGTATGCTACGCTCACGCCCCTCTGAAGCAGACAAAGGTCTAGACCGGCTCGCGAGTGAGGTGGCATGAGGATGGAGACGAGAGCGAAGGGGCACTTGAGCGGCTGCCCATGGTGGCGTTCCGCACGCTGTCACATCGCAGGCATCAAAGGTCAAGACTGTCTGCAACCTCAGAAGACTGAGGTGGCGGCTGTGGCTGGTGTCACGTTGTTGCGGCAAGCGAGGTCCAGACCTGTCTCCGCCTTTTTGCGGCTGACGCCTCTGGACAAAAGTCCAATGTGCAGGGGCCCAGCGCAACAAAACAGTTCCGTCGTTGGCAAAAGTATTGCCGTTGGTGAAGTCCGTCTTGCCCCTCCCGTCTGATGTTTCGATATGGCATCAAGCGCTGTGATGCTGGTAGTGCACAGCAACGGACAAGATGGTGAAAACCTAGAGGTGACAGATGGTTTGTCAGCGCCACAATCGGTCGACCTTGGAGGCCGTTGCAAGTCAAATCTCAACTTTGATCATACCGGGATCAACACCATGACCCAACAGGCATAGTGAACAACCTGTCCGGCCAATTGCGGCATGTGTTTCGGTGGACGAACCGTGCAAGTCGAGCACTAGAAAAGTGTGTGGCCAAGAGGCATCGGTGCTATATCTCTCCGGGTTAGCCTTTCGAAGCTAAAAGCTGTCGTCCGTGTTGCTCGGAACAGTCCCGTCATGGGCACTAGTCATGAGCAAACGTGTTGCAATGATGGATAGGAGACGGCGCTCATGCCAGTCGATGCTCATGTGCTGCTCGGGTGAGAGAGCCAAGGTCACAATAGGCAGGTTCGCCCGCGGTTGGTGCACACTTCAAGGTGGTAGGTGAAATGAAGCCTGAGCGTTGTGCAGGGCATTTCATCGATCGGACATCCATGCCGCAGGGCATGCTGAATCCGATAGCGGTCGTGTCAAGAAGGAGCCGCGGGAAGCAGAGGCCTCGTTGTCTGACGATCATCGCACAGTTGCCGGGGGCTGCGGTATCGCTCGTAGAGATCGCTCGCAGAGTCATTATCGAGCGATGGATGTCCGCCGGCAGAATATAAAGAGCATGACTTCGTCGTGCAGGGCCGATCGTTCTTCTCCTCCAATGTTGGGCACTGAGCGAGTAGCGAGAGAGGAAGAGGGCGATGGGCCGTACGACGATTCCAGATGCTTTCGATCTGGCCGGATATGCAGTGCACTAGGGGCGATCAGGCGAACGCGTGGACCCGTGGCCTTGTGGGCAGGGTATCGACGCGGACCCGAGACGCTACTTGTCGCCACATTCGGTCCAGTTGGGTGGTCCCCAAAGCACAGAAGCAAACATTTTCTTGCATCATCCTTCCATCGAGATCTGTCGGACGCTGTAGGGAGATTGGTCACCAGAAGACCAAAGACATGTATTGAAGGATGAAGGGTAATTGGGAGAAAATATGGTCACAAGCGGGGTGATTTCCTGTTTCAATCAGGATGGGAAAGTTGATCAGCACCCGAAACCCGATGGAGGTCGTCCCACGCTAAACGTGTTGTGAAGAAAGCCAAAACTCTGGTGATTGGATGTTCGGCCGTTTCCTTCCAATATCACAAGGATCGAGTGATAGTGGCCGTCGTGGCAACATGGGGGAAAGGGTCAGAGACTGCCGAGGGAAATCGTGTCGCCGTGTTGCATCGAAGAAACAGGTGGGATCGAAAATGATTTCAATGGGTTGATCCATTGGGTTGATCCAAAGAGGGGTCGAACGGCTCAAGACTCCGTTTGACAGGTGCTACACCCCCCCCCCCCCCCAGCATGCGCCCAGGGACTTGCTGCGATGCCGTCGCCATCGGGGAGGGGAGATTCATCGCGGTCATGTCGCTGTCCAAAAAAGACAACAAAAAGATCTGCGGGCGGGAGAATCGATGGATCACCTCCGTCATCCCAACTCGCTCACTGAACGCTGTTGGCCATCAATGATACTATTGTTCCCTGTTCAGGTGCACAGTGACGACGTTTGGAGGGTGAGTGACAAGATCACGCAGCGGCAGACGTCGAGCCACGCAAGCCTTATCCATCATGGGCGGAAGACAAAACGGCGATCCCAAGACGTCTTGGAAGGGCAGAAACGGACCGGCCTAGGCCCAAACCAGCAAACAGTAAGACAGGACCCTGAGGATCGGGCTGAAGGGGGGGCATCGCCTCAAGGACCCCTTTCTGCAGGCAGCAGCAATCGAAAGATGGGTGTGCCATCAAGGCCCCACGTCCTTCCATTTTCTTGGCACCGCTCCCCCGCGCGACGGCGCTGACAGGAACATCAAAACGGCCCCAGCGCACCGCCACGCACCGCCTCAGATGCAACCCATCTATTACGGTATCGTACGACGACGGTTTCCCCTGCCAAACAAGGTTTCGACGGTATCAGCTGCTCTAGGTAACGAGTCGGCCGGACAGCGGCAGACCAACTGCCCCGGACGCCATTCCCGGGCCCTTCTTCAGCTGGACCTACCACCGACTGACATGACCGCGGAGTCATAGCCAGCAATGGTTGCTGACATGGCTACGGCTCACACGGCCGCTGCCTGCGGATGTGACGGGCTGACGGACTTCTCTCGGCAGCCGCGGGCTCAGCATGACAACTGCTTCCTACAGTACACGCCCCCCCCCCTCCTTGCCTCGTTGTGCAGCCATCAATTGGCGACAGAAGAGCAAACTGCACAAACCTAGTGTGGTCATGGGTCGCAAGGGTGGACCTGTGTCGCGCGATAGGAGAGAGGGAGGGCGAGGGAGAGTGAAATTGAGATTTGAGGGCTGTACAGTACAGCGGTCCATCAATTACCGAGTGGCATTGACGAAGGACTTTGAAAGGGGGTTCTACCGTAATTTGGACCAGTGGGAGGGCAAAACGCCAGGTTCACTCGCCCTGGTCCGTCACGCTGGCTCACCACGACACGACGGGCCATGCAGACGTGGACCCGCAAGGTCAAGGCACGAACGGAGCGCCCGAATAGCTGGTAAAAACCTCGCATCTGCCGTCAAAATGAAGGGGATTTCAAATGGAGCGGTTCGGACGGACCTCCTGGAAACGGCCCAAAAAAAGGGAACGTGATTGGACACTTTATGACTTGTGGCCCTGCCTCGGTAGCAAATCAGAGTATCCACACAAAAGGTGAAACTGAGCACCTCGCAGTGCGGGCCTTCTCTGTATCCGCGACGGTCGATGAGCTCCGTTTCTCTCCGCCACAGTAGGTAGTCAGTCGTCGGTCGATCCGTTGTCCATCGAGATTCGTGCGAGGCCTGTCTTGGCCTGATGAGGGCCCCCCCTTCGTCCCTTGGACGGACCGTTGCGTCCTTGCTGCGCATCTGGCTCTCTGCCACACCGATGCGAGAGCGAAAACGCGATGCGAGGCCCTTCACGCGGGAGCCTGGGCATTGGTGCTTGTGTCGCGAAATTTGCCTGGGCACATGCCTGTGGTATTATATCATGAGCGTGTGTCCTTTCAAGCCACTTCCATTTGCCCTCTTCGTGGTTTGCACTCTGGATACTCGATTCATCAACCGTTTTCCTGCGACTTCACTTGCGTGCCACAGCTTCACTGCTAATCACTACGATACCATCACTCAGCGCCACGTCATCCTCAACATACCTAGGTAGTGGCACATCGATAGGTTCCAATCAATCCAATCAACATTTACGCCCGCAGTATCAATCCGTTCGCGCTCGTCAGACTTGGTCCAGAATAGTTCAAGCAGGAAGAAGCGCTCAAGCAGTTGCCAAGCAGCAGCCAAACCAGCCCGAGCTCCCAAGCCTGACAACCGACCCACCCAGCCACCGTCTCCATCCCTCTCCCCCAGTGGCAGTGGCCCAGTATACCGTTTGCTGCAGCCTAGGACAGAACACTCCGCCCACCCCCGACACGTCCCTCAAGCCCACACACCCCCTCCTGTCTTGTGCCTGACGTTACAAGTGCACCATCCTTGTTCTGGCCTGCCGAACCCTTGTCTTGCCTTCTTAGACACGACCGACGTCGAAGGCGCCTGCCCTGCCCAATTCCCCATCCCGCCCGAGATCAAACCTCTAGTCTGGGGCCCTTTCCGTAGATCACACATAAGACCCTGCCAGGCCCTCCCTCCGTCTGCTCTGGTCTGCTCCCACACCACAAGCCAAGAAGTCGTTCTTCTGCAACACCAACACAACACGATACATCATCAGCACTGAGGATAGGACAATAACTCTATCGACCTGGACCACTCCACCAACCTCGACTCTCGCCTGTCTGCTACGGCATCAACATACACCATCATGCCTTCAGCACGCCCTTCCTCTGTTCACTACGGCAGCTCCTCATCCTCTTCCAGCTCAGACTCAGATCTCTCCGCAGCATCTGCTTCGTACCGCCCCAGCATGGATTCGGCACCCATCGTCGTCTCAGTCGAGACGATTCGCTGCATGCGGTGCGCATCTGCCACCGAGATGACTTCAACGGACGACCCCAGCTCATACGGCATGGTTCGCATCTCCACCAATCTCTACTACTGTGAGAGGTGCGCCAAGAAGACTGGCTTCACCTGAACGACCCGGTGTGAAAAACGGGAATCGAGCCCGTGGCTTTCGACGAACTGATTGCACCAACTGTGGAATATGAATATTCCCAGATTCTTAACGAAAACACGACCTGCGATGGGCTGTCAAGACGACGCCCTCGTCAGCAGCCTCTCAAAAGGCAACAATCGTTGCCATGCGCAATGCAACAATGCCATGGCAACGCTCCATCGCTATCTTTCAAAGTACGAAAGGCAAAGCAAACGTCTGCCCAATCCCAGCGGCCACCAACGTCAAACCGCCCTCGCCCCAAGGCATGAAGCCCAGAAAAGCAGATGGCGGCCAGTCAGACAACAGCCATCCGACGCTACCAAGTCGGACTTTGGCATCGGACCCGGACACCGCGACGCATGACGGGAATTGAGTTGGCACTACCAACAGCGCCATGCCCTACGGCCGGCCAAGCTCCAAGCTCCAAGCTTCCTGGTCGGTCCACCTTTGGGGCTATGACTCGGTTCTCAGCCGTTGTCTCCTTGGCCCAGCACCACACAGCTGAGTGCACTCTACCTGATGCGACTCGCCAGTGGAAGCACGGATCCCGGAGAAAACCCACCTCGTCACCATGACTGGCCTTCCCAGTGCGATGATCGACACAGAGCAGGCTCGCTTTCGCCGCCTCATCTCTTTGTGGTGCTGCGAGGGAATCCCGTGTCTCGGGTTCCTGACAGCCCAACCGCGATACTTCCCCCGTTCCACCATCTCTTCTCTTCCTCTTCTCCCCCATTTTCATTTCTATTACGCCGTGGCAGCGAACTTCGCACGGTCTGCAGCCCGTGGCTGTGTGCGTCCAAGCCTCGGGGCCGCGTGCGGTCGGTGGGTTGACCCAACCCGGCTCATCCCATTGGGCGTCACAACACTTGCTCATCTACCACCCCACCTCGGCCGACACGGGTCCAGACCTCGACCATCACAGTCTTGTTCGTTGGGACGGTTTCGGTCAATCGCCCTGTGGTCAGTGACACATTGGACCGAGGCGCTGGCGACCTTGTCACAATGTGTCACCTGGCTCTCGCAGCGGAGTGTCACGTCCTTCAGAGCACGGCCTCGACTTGCCCGCCATGGTCGGGGACAAGTCCCGCAGCCAATGATGCAGGCTACAGGGCACAGCTCTGCCGGCGCCGACGAGCGCGCCAATCAGCGATGGACATGGGCGTCCACTTGCTGCATCGACGGTCGGCTTTGGTCGTTTTCCGCCCCTGCCTCTGACGTCGCCCGCATGTCAGTGCCAAGGAGGCAAGAGTCGGAATGGCTTCATTTTCATATGTCATGCTTTGGATTGTCTTTCCTTGCGTTGTATCGCGCGTTGGGTGGAGAGAGGGCCATCGGAGATACCACATTACTTATTGTCTCAATTTTACGCACCACGATCTGCGATCCTGTGGGCCAAGCGATAGCGTTTCATGTTTCTTGATGCATCAGATACCAGATACCAATTGATCAAAGACTTGCACTAGTCTGACTTGTCGCTCGTGTCATGCTTGTTGCCCTGCTGTTGATTCGCGAATTCGAGCTTGCGAGGTTTGCGAGGTCTGCGAACGGGATTCGTGGACTGGGACGATCCACACTGACGTTAGCGCCAAAGACCCTGAAATTCCAGGGTCCAGCTCGTCACGGAGCGCTGGAAGAGCCCCTCTATCCAGCTCTGTCCAGGGCAGGCGTCGACCACATGCACCAGAGGGGCACCACTTCACTGCACCACGACGTCAGGCCACCTCGCGGCGATGGGCTCTGTTGCGGCAGCATTTCGCCGGCCGGTGAACAGGGTCTCGCCGGGATGGGATGAGCAGGCAGCACTTGTTTCGCAACAGGGGCGTGACGTGTCCTGTTCATGGAATTCCATGCTCTGAACAAACATTGACAATGGATGGGACCGAGACAAACAAGATGAGCAGGGGAAAGCAAACCATGTTACGATTTGGAGGCCACCGTTGATGTGAAAGATCTCTCCGTTGCAAGGTAGCCAGCTGTAGTAGTACTAAACGGGGCGTGCCAGAGAACGATCCACCTGCAGCCAGCACAGCCTCCTGGTCGTTCTGCCTTTTGCCGTGTAGCCAGCCAGCTCGTGAACTTTGCGCCGTCTGTCCGTGCTGACTTGTCCGTGCTGGGCTGCTGGCATGTACATGTAGGTAGGGTACGACTGATGCGATGCGAAAATGCCCCCTCTCGTCCTCGTCCGCCCGCCCGCCCGCCGCGCGTGTTTCATCGCCGTGGAGCCTGAATGTGGTGATCCCTGGGGATCCGGAGGGAGCCCATTTTGATCTGCAGGACGTCAAAGTTTTTTTTTCGCTTTCGTTTCGTTTGTATGGGATCTTCTGACAAGGCTAAAATCTGCTCAAACTCAGTGGCCTCATTGCGCGGGTCGGGGAGATGAGGTGGGAAGGGAGAGGCAGGGGGGGTCTGTTTGGGTGCCTGCTGACTCCCTGCTCGGATGGTGATGGTTCGTGGTGGGGTTTGTCAGCGGTGCTCTACGCAAAGTGTGAAGTACATGGAGGGTGCCTGCTGGGCACCGAGGTCAGGTCGGGACACAGACATGCCAGGACATGGGACGCGGCTTGGCGTCGCCGCTCGTTGCACGGCACGGGCAGGTCAGGGCAGCAGGACAGCACGCAGCGCCTTCTGTCACTGCATCTGTTGCTTCTCCTCAGCTGATGAGACCAGGGACGTTGGGGCCCGAATCA